TTAGAGTTGTTGGAAATGTGTTATCAGGAGAAAAAGCGGCTGAAAGGCGAGGAGAAGCTAATTGTGGATGGGGCTGGTGGCGTTTCCTGTTACCGAGATTGCCCAACACTTAGGGCCGGGTCTGCTAAACAACAGGCTCCCATATCAGAAAACCTTCAACCCCATTAGCATTGCCATTCTACTTTAGTTAGAAGAGAGAGTGCCTATAATTTTTAAATACAAGTCCAGAGGTGAAAAAGGCCCTTTCCTAAAGCTGTGTTTCACCTGGAGTTCAGGCACTCGTACGGACGAGGTGAGAGCTCCCAGGTGGACCCAGGACATGACCTCCATCTCCATAATCCGTGGTACTGCCTGTTCTGGACTGGGCATTCAATGTTCTCTGCTCTGCATAAATATTCACTGGGACACACCACCACATGGGGTCCAGCATGAAACATTGAGGACTTCCCTGTTCCCTGAAGCAGCTCCCAGCTCCATTACACGGATTTCTTCACTAATCTGCCCTTCTCTTTCCATTCTTTCAAGGCTCTATAGTTATTCAAAATATTTGTTCTAAACATATATCACAACAGGGTCAAGCTCTACCCCATCCAACTGTTCCAAGAGTTGGCAATAAACTTGGAGACATTCTTGAATTTCTTCAGGCTCTCAGGCTCATCTGCTCAGTTAATGGTCAAGCAATCCTTTCATTCTATCAATATCTGTCCTGCTGAAATGGAGAACTTATTTTTAGCCTTCTATTTAAACAAAATAACCTAGTATTGCATGAAGGTCATTTTTAACAACAAGCTCCAACAGTTTTAGAATAGCATCTCCTCTTCGAGTCAATGAATAGTTTAACAAACCTGTTGGCCAGAAACTGAATAGTTGTAATCTGATATAAAGGACGCCAGCTGATAATAGTGCACCGTGACCTAGAAAAAAATATTCAGGAGTGACGTTTTTGTCCATAGCTTACAATTAGGTACAAAAATTTGAAGAAATATTTAACTCTATACAACTCAAGCCCTACTCACAGTACCTTACACTGCAGTGTTACTGAGTCTGGGGCAATTAAGAGGTGCGTTGACTCAATGCTCCTAGAGAAATGCTGTCAGTGTACTTACTGCCAGAGCCTGCACGGAGAGGATTGCACTATCCCTGACTCCAAACTGTTACCAGCACGCCTTTTTTAATTATACCAAATTCAACTTTCATATTAATGCAACAGAGGAAATTGAAATACCCATGACAAGCAATATCATCAACTGCACAGTGCTTTATCTTTACAAGAACGAGCAGGTATGCTGTGAAGATCAGAATCGTTACATATGTAATTAAAACACGAGTAAATGGCTTCCTTGGGGTGATGGGGCAATGGAGAGGAGGCAAAAAAACCTCAACAGCAGCCCTGCCTCACCAGATGCAGTAGTAACTCGTATCTTAATTGGGTGAATGCTTGTCAAGCCTCTTACTTCCTCAGTTCCTCCTGCCTTGTTTCACATGGGCAATTTGCTCCTTCTGTCTTCCCTCCAGGATTTTTCTTCGAGTGTTTTTTCTAATCAAATCATGGTGATTTTCAAGTGGCTTCCTTTCTAGTCAGAAATTTTCATTTTCTCCTGCATTAGCCCTCTAAGAAAAATGCTTGCATAAAGGAGTTGTACCTTCTAGAGGTTTTCTGCATACACATTACCCACAGATTAGGGAGAATATTAACAAGAACCTCAACATCTCGGAGGAAGCAGACAGAGCTGGATGCTACAGAATTGAAACTATTTCGTGCCAGGGCTGTCAGTGCATGCAGCTCGCTGCACAGATGCTCTGGGACTCCCTCCTCCTGCTCCAGTCCTGCCCAGCTGCCTCTTGCCCTTGCTGGGAGGCTCAGTAACCAGAGAGGGGACAGGAGCAATGTAAAGGTCTTGCTGGGGCTACTGCTTGCACTGCCTCCTCCTCTTGTCCAAGGAAGTGCCCTGCTTCCAATCAGGGCAAAACCAGAGGATGATTTCAAAGTCAATTTTACAGCATCTGCTAGAAGGCCAAATAGAAGTGTCACCTGCCTACCCCGCTGAGCTACAGCACAAAAGAAGAGTTCAGAATAAGACTAAAAAGGGCTGGACAACAAGGGCCACTCCATTTGTATAGTTTCTTCACTGCCTAGGCTCAAGTTTATTTGAATTCCTACTTGAGTTCCTGCACCAAATCCCAGCCCACAGACATGTACAGCTAAGGACTGCTGGATATAGCGACTCTTCAATTGCCTCTTTTTCCCCCCTGGTCTTCCCAAGCTACTTCCCAGTCTTTGAGGAAAGCTTTCATATCTTTACAGATCCTATAAAACATTTGGTCAAGGGGACCTGGACCGTATCAGCCTATGCCAGGGGCTCAGGGACCACACACAGCATCCACTACTGCCTCGGTCTGCTGAGAGCATCAGTGCATGAATCATTCTTCCCAAACAAAGTGGTTACCAGGCTGATAAGCAAGATCTCTGCAGATTTCACCCTCTGCTAATGCAAATTTGAACTGATACATTCCTCATAACACAATGCCTTGATCAGCTTTTACAAAAAAAAAATATATAAATAAAGTAATGCCTAATGACTCAAAGACAAGTGCTTGAAAGTTCTTCGAAAAAAGAAAAGATCTCATCTTTTTCCCCGGATAGGACACAGCAGTGATGGACCACCAAATGCCATGAAAAATATTCAATGCAAAGGCCTGGGAAGCTGGCAAGAACAGCCCTGCTACCACACGACAGATCTGTTGTATAACGGTAATACCACGGTTACACTCCGGCTGCAGAAGTAACATTAAAATTGCATGAACATTTATTAAATCAACATGTTATCATTAAGTTGCATTTAACAGAAAAAGCAGCTTCCATTGGCCCAGCTGGCCTTAGAAACACCTTTTGTGATTAGAAAAAAAGCAACACCACCACCATGTGGCAAGAACCATCCACCTCACAAGAAAACGATGCAGGAAGACAGGAGCTGGATCCAGAAAAGCAAGGTCTTGCTCCATCTTGGTTTTAGGTAGACAGAGATCCTAGAGCAGGCTCCTGGGTTGGGTTTTAGAAAGCAAGGTTTCATTTGGGTGGCTGGACTTGTGGTATCATTGCCCACTGCGGGGCAGGACATTGCACTTCCAAATCCCAGAGTCATGGATTTATGGGTCTGCTCCGACTTTCTAGCAGATGCTGCACAATCATGCCCAGCCCTCATTAGACTTCTAATTAGACTCTGACCATCTCCACAGATTTTGGATGTTCCGAGTCACCAATAGCCTGAGACAACTATTCCACATTTTGAATTAAAATAGCGCAGCCTCAGATGGTGGAAGCAGCACGATGAACACCAGCAGCGACCACCTTATGACTACACGCATGCAAAAGCCACCCACTTTGCTGGGGAGCCCTTTAGAGACTACAGAAGATCAGAGAAAATAATGGAAAAAAGCCTTTTGTAAATGTTTAGTTATTTCCTAGAATTAAGACGTCTACTTCTTTGGTGCCTGCCAGCTTTCCTTTCCCTACTGCTGCAGACATGCCTGGCAGCTGCCCCCTTCCCATGAAGGAACATCTGCAATTTGGGGACTCACAGAGAGCAAGTGAGCACCAGGAACCACTGAGATGAGCGCCTGAAAGCATGTAAAATATTCACGCCCATTATTTCCCTACTGCTTCCAAATACCATTGAGATGAAAAATTGCCAATTTGCTATCTCTAATCTGATCGTGTTCCCCTTTTGAAAGGAGTACCTGCCTCTTCCTAACAGCCAGGGGGATGTGAATAAGCATGAGAAGAAGACCGTGCCCCATATAGGATCCCATCCTTTGATCTTTTGAGCAACCGGCTTCCAAATTGCTGCACTGCGAAGCATTTTAATGTACACTTTGTATGGATGGTTACAAGCAAATGAATGATTTAGTAACAAAATGTTTGGAGTAAACCAATTGAGTAAAACTGCAGAGGGCATGTGCAATCAGGCTGGGTTTGAGTAACAGCTGCTACACATTTGTAGAATAATAGATCTGATGAACTAATTTGTGAGAGAGCTGGGCACAGCTGTGATGCAGCTCACAAATGAAAAGCAACAAATTATAAGCAACTGCATAAAAGGATTGTTTTTCAGACCAACTTCACTAAAACTGCACAAAGTTGTGTTGTGATTTTTTTTTTAATTAGTTTGGTGGGTAAGGGAAGCAGAAGGAACAAGGCCTCTATCTGAAGTAACTGCTATTTAAAGGTCTGTAGCTGAGTCAGAAAATCACTTCTCTTTTAAAGTACAGGAGCAGGCAATTGAGTTCAATAAAAGTTGCATGAACAGACAGACATGGTGAAGGGAAATTCTGCTTTCTTCCAGAAAAACACCATGGATCAAAATTCTTAGTATACCAAGTAAATATAATGAGTTACCAGATCAAGCTTTCTTTTGCATTACACCCAAAAGGAAGATACAATTTGCACCTTCTCTTCCAGAAATCATCTCAAGAGGGGCTGTCACTACACAGGAGTCATGGGATTTGCACAAAGCCATTAGGGCAGCATGTGCCAATGGGTTATTTCAGACTCGGGGACATATAAACTACGCTGAAGTTTTAATCGTATGCTGTTTTACTGACAACTTTCTCTTTAAAAAGAAATCAGAGTAAAAAAACAATTTTCATCAATTCTGATCTATGTTTAAACGAAAGCTCCACCAGGAGCCCTGGCTCCCTTCCTGCAGAGCTGCTGCCCCTCCACCAGCCCCACTGACATATGGGGCCAGCCCACGGCAGGTGCAGGGCTCCGCGTTTGTTTCCTTCCCTTCTCCACTTTGTAATGATCAGTGATCTTCTACTCACCCATATTTCCTTCCAGAAAAAAATAATTTTTTAAAAAATATAGCTGATTTTGCTCTATTTTCACCAGATAGCTGCTGAAGTAGAAGGATGTCCAGCCCTACTGAATGTTAGCTGATTTGAGGCGCTGCCAGTTTTTCATTTCATCAAGTTATTTTCACAGAACTTACAGATCAGCATAAGCAAGAACAGCAAAAGGCATTGACATTTCCATAAAACATCCAAATGTGTTTTGGGGGGTTTTAAATTATTTTTATTGTAGCTGTAACCAAAACAATCTGAGAAATACCTTTCAGAAAGAAAATAGCTGTTTGGAGACAGAAGTCCATCACAATAGCCAGAAACATCCACCTTCCTTTTGTAATTCTGCTGGCAATCTGTAGCAACAGATTATTATTGCTGTGCAACGCCGACAGGACAGAGATAATGCTGTAATTTATTCTTAGAACATACTTAAGCGGAATTATTTTACTAGCAACCTGCTGCAATACCCACAGTAATACAGCAGCCCGCACAGTACAGCTGATGGTATGAAAGGGAATGATTTAACACAAGAAAAGCAATCGATTTTACAGAGTGCAGCAGAGGCAGCCTGCTTCCAGGCTTAGATCTCTCCTGCTCCCTCTGCCTATTTGTCTGCTCCAAGGCTTCATCCCGCATTTTGCTGGTGCAGAAACCGTCGCTCTCCACAAGTAATAGCAGGATTTCCAATAACCTCAGGCCATCCACATCTCACTGTAAGAAATTGAACCGAAGAGCCACCGCTCAGTCTGTTAGGTGTGCAGTCACATATCAGGCAGGATCAGCGGGGCTTGTTCTCGCCAAGCCTGTGTTGTAATTACCTAAAAAGAATCCCGCAGTTTCCCCACAGAAATAGTAAGCATATCAGTGTAGGCAGCTCAGCATTTTTAACTACCACATTATTTAAGAAAATATTCTCAAGTGCATTTATATATTGAGTAACCACCAAACTCAGATTTTCAGAAGTACAGAGGATGGTCAGGCACATAACTCATTTAAAAAAAAAAAAAAAATCATTACAATTCAGAAGCCAACGTTTCAGATACATTCATCTACTCAGTAGTGTGAGCTCTAAGTGCTTTACACCACTGCCTCTTGCTTGAAAAGTTTTACAGATTGCATTTTGATCAGCACCCACCTGCTGACAACAGTTTTACTAGAGCGTGTGCATCTTTGCTGATGCTCTGTGTATTCGCTAACAGAACTGGGAAACTTTACATTTCTAAGCACAGTTCCTACAGAGCAGCATTATAAAACGCAGCCCAGGGCAACTGCTGTAATGCCAAAGGGCTGGGGGATTGTTCCAGAGCACCAGCTTGTCACCACAGGAAAACACCCAGACCACATTCCCATTCTACCTGAGAGATAATTTATGCCAAAACTGAGTTTTACCAGGTTAAATTAACTAAAGAACAACAGGTCTCCAGTGGAAGACAGATGCAAAGGTATTGTTCCATGAAGCAAAGTCTGTTAATGAAACTTCATAATATGGACCAGCTTTTTAGCTTAAATTCATTTACAAATAATAATAATTTTTTAAAAAGATATTTACAGAGGAGTTAGATACCAAAACACTTTTTGGGGTCTTTGTGTCAAGCCTAGTAGCACTATATGCAACAAAAAGAAGAATGCTTCAAAAATCCAGTTCTCTGAACCCAGATGGTTGGGAAATTTAAAACTCCTCCAGGCATCTAAATACTTCTGAAAGACTTGGTTTGTGGATCTGAGAAATCCAAGGGACATTTAAGAGATATATCAGCACTAAAACACATTTCACACTGAAATGTTGCAAAGGAAAAGAGAACACTGCAGAGAAGAAAAATCAACTTCGTGGGTCTGTACATCAGTTTGAAACGCCTGGGTTGCAATCAGCAGCATTAGGACTTGCAGCCTCCTCTGCAAAGAGCAAGACAGCTAAATGACTGCACCTAGCCGTGACTTTATTCTCGTCTCAGCTGAGCCACCCCAGGGGCACACACTGAACCCAGACGTGTGCGAACATCAGGGGCTGGAGGCACGGAGCCAGCCTCCCCCAGGAGGGACCCACAGTCCCCAAGCAGACGGAGACACCAGCCCGGTGTGGAAGGGAGCATTTCCTCCGTAGCTGCTGGTGTCTGTGTCTCTGAAGGGTTTCATTACGCCTCTGGAGCATAGCTCTGCCCTGTGGTTCAGTGCTGGAGCAACCGGCAGCTTCCACGCTCATCCCACGCAGCCCAGCCAGCAAGGAGCACGCTCAGCTGGCTCCCTTCTCTAAGCTGCGCTTAACAGCCCTGTGCTTAATTAAGTCCTCAGCCAAATGACTAGGGAAAAAAGCAGAGAGTTAATTAATATATCATGATGCAGTACATAAAGAACTTCTGACAGGACAATAAATAATATATGAAAGGCAAAGCAAAAGGGCTCTAATTTCGGGTTGGTTCAGAAATACCTCAGGCCTCAAACTATCTGTACTAATTGCTTGAACACAGGACATTTCACATCCATGCTTACAAAGACCTTATTTACAACTAGAGTTGCAGATGCATACAGCATTAACACTTGATAATCTCAGCTCTAGTAGCCAAAATAATATTGCTAAGTTATTTTTGTATGCAACGTCTCTGAATCCTATTAAAAATAAAGTAGTTTTTCACTAAAGCTGCAACCTTCCTCTAAAATGGTTGCAAGTGCTAGTTGTTAATTATAGATAAAACATTTCTGCAAGACTTTGAAATAGTGCTTGAAACTAACCCCAATCAGCTGAGCTCAATCTCAGTACTTCTGGAAATTCAAAGATCACCCAACTCCATACCCGTTTTAGTTTTTTGCACATATTTAACACAACATGAGTGTTCTCTTGCAAAAAGGCTCTTTGTGCACATCGCCATGTAGCAGGGTAACACTCACCTTACAGCTACACTTGGCATAGACACATTGTTAGGCACAATTCTCTGACCTCTCTTCAGAGATATTTTTCTTTTGTCTTTTATAAGAGTTAATATTAATAGCAAAGTGTTTCTAGATTGCTATTCCTGCGCTAACGATGTTCCATATGTGCTTTCTTTAACAATATCAGTGGGGTCAACATTAGGAGAGGTTTATATTCAAGTAGAAGAATGGAAGGAATGAAGCCCTGACACGATAAAGGATTGTACATCCACAAAACCTGACGTTATCTTTTCATTTCACCAAATATCAAGCAGATTTATTTTGTGTACTGCAAGTATAGAAGCCATCCCCCTAAAATCAACATTTAAACAGGCATGCACGAGAAACTAGCACCAGAGCACCAACAAAGCATGCTTCTGAAATCCTCACAGCACTTTACAAATGCTGTGCTCAGCCTCTCTCCTGGCTTTCCTACTGCCCGCAGGGCCACCAGCAGGTTCAGAGGCTGCCGTTCGTCCCCGCTGCCCCTGATGGTCCCAGCAGCAGTCCTGTCACGGCTGCTGTTACCGCCGAGCGCCCTGCCTTACCACAGGGGCACGGCAGAGAAAGCAGATGCTTAGTTTGCTGCACACAGATAATTCCAGCTCAGCAGAGGAGATCAAAACCAACACCTAGCTGCAGTAAAAAGGAAGTTATAAAACACAGGGGGCAACAAAATGTCCTGCAGGTCGTCTGTTGCCTCTGCTTCACCAGCTGGGCCTGGGTATCCGCAGCGGCTGAGTTTTGCCCAGCCCCTGCTCAGGGTCACTGCAGTGCTTTGGGGAGAAGCAGCAGCCCTGCTGATCTTCAGTGCTGGTGGGAAGGGGAAAGAAATCAGGGAGAACAATGAAGAGGAAGAAAAGGAGAAGGAAAGAAGTGATGCACGCTATATCATTCCACGCTGCAAAACCAAGAACTTGCTTTTGAGGAGAAGCCACAGTGGGGAAAGAAGGACGCACGTAAAGATTGGTTTTAAAACAGAAGCGTGAGTGAGGTAGTGTCTTAAATCCAGCAGAGATACACGTAACAGCTAGCTCATTTCACTCTGAATTACTGATACTGCTCGCAAAGTCTCCGCTGTGTTTTATGGGTTTGTTTACTGCAGTGGGGTTTTGCTCTCTCCATCAGGCACACCTTGCATTGCTGATGCTGCTGGGGGCTGGCGCCTGGCCCCAACAGAGCAGAAGATTTGCAAAGATGGCACAGCTGCTGTGCCCCACTGCTATCTGCCCTGCCTACGCCAGAACTTGTAAAACCAAATTTACTACAGCTGCTGATGGTGCAGGGCTGGGGGGAGCTGAGATAGAGGCCACTGCTGCAGAGGGAAGCTGAGTCTGCCAGAAACAGTCGTCATTATTTCCATCCCCTCCCAGTCCTCACGCCAAGCAGGAGCAGCCCCACAGGCCTTCCTTTCTTTGTGCCACCTTGAAAAATTGTACTTCTTACCTTTTTTTTTTTTTTTTTAACATAGAAAAGAGCACAAGACAAAAGAAAATAAGAGAGTTCACAGATAATATGGCAGGGCTTCAGCATTCGCAGCACTGTGCTATCTATGTGGGTATACCCACGGATTGTCTTTTGTTCAGCATGTAACAGAACAGCTAACACAGCATAAAATGTGCAGAGAGTAAGGCAATTAATAATACAATGGAGTTCCCCATGCCCTGAAAATTCGCCAAAAACAACAATTCAGTTTAATCTGTAGCCACTGTGCATTGTCTTTGTCACCTGATCCCCAAAATCGGCAGATTGGATGAGAGCACAGAAAAGAGAAAAAGAAATGAACGAATGCATAGGAAAATTTGTGAAGAAAAGCGTGGACTTACATGGCTTACAAATGACAAAGCAGAAATGACAGAAGTGGGGTACACAGAAGACACGGTGGAGAACTCAGATCTCCCCTGCATGTCTCACAACACACAAAAAAGGGCTTTAGTTCAGGTTGGTGGATTGAAAATGCGATTTGTTTCCATATAACATACGTGTAGTTCAGTGGTGTAATTGCTTGCTTTAGGAAGAAAGAACATTAACACTGCTGCGAAAGGACTGGACGATGATATACGGGGAGAAGCTGAGAAAAGTGAGTTTGTTCGGGCTTAAGACAGGATGGCTGGAGGACATCTCGCTGCTGCCTGCAGCTGCCTCTCAGAGGGCATAGAAGTGGAGCCAGCTCTTCTCGGAGGCACACGATGGAAGGACAAGCAGCTGCAGGGACAGCTTGGGACCCAGAAAGGTCTGGCTGTGAAAGACCAATGCTTTTACAGGAGGGTGGTCAAATGGGAACAAGAGCCCAGAGAGTTTGTGGGATCTCCATCCCTGGGATATTCAAAACTTGGCTAGTCACGGTCCTGAGCAATGTGCCCTGAGCAGAAGGCTGGATTAGGTGAGCTCTGGGGGGCATTTCCTACCCACATAATTCTGTGCTTCTATCTGTGAGTCTGTTAGGTTGGATAAAATAAAAACACTGTGAGGGAAGGAAGGGAAACCCACAAGCAACACTTTCCTCTGAAGCATCTCATTCTAAGTAACAGTTAAATATAGGCTTGATGAAATAAAGATGCAAATTAACATTTGAAATCTGATCCATTTACTGCATCGACCCCATGATCCAAGTGTATTATGCATTTGCACTCCTTAATGACAAATGCACAAAGCTTATGTTATCACTAGCAGTCTCCATGGTCTATTCCCTTATGTTTTAAATTCACCTTCTGTTTGAACTTACGGGCAGGGATGTTAATTCATCTGAAATAAACATCAGGAAATCAATATTAAGAGTTTCTAATTAGCTTTATTCCTTTATTTCAAACCAGCAAAACAAAGACCTGCAGAATATACAGCACAAGCTGCTTCTGTTTATTAATGCACACAGTAACATACGAGCAGAGGGACAGCCGTGACCTTGACATTTTAACTGGACTCCGTTCATTTCTATTTATTTGTTTTATTTTCTGCTGTAATTAGCAGCAGCCACCAACATCAAACAATTATAAGGGGGAGCAGGGAGGGAATAATGCTCCACTTTTCCCACTCCTTTTCCTCTTGTGTTTTGCAAAACTTCCTACGTGGAGAGTTGCACTGATGCCTTCCTTCAGCTCAGCTGGGCTGGTATTTGTATGCACCTCTAACAAGAATAAGGGACAGGAAATATCCGAAAGATAAAAAAATCTCATTGTGAAGCCATAAATCTGGCTTTAAGAATAATTTCAGTGACCCAAAAGTACTCTTCTTTTAAAAGACTGCTTGTATTTCCAGTTTCTTGCATCTCTGTGACTGTTTAGTGATAAAAGTACAAAATTCCTGCCTCTAGTGTGGTAATTTTGCTCTAAGCAGGGAAACCTACAGGCAACAGTACACTTGGAATTGAGATAGAAAAGAAGAACGAACTCTAGTTTTCATCTCCTAGGAGATTAATTAAAACACTCCGGCAGTATAACACTGCTTACACTGGCATGAAGAAGATGGACTGTAGCATTTCGGACTGCTCCAATTATCATTGTTACTGTAGTTTCCAGAGATGCCTCTAAAAACCTCTTTACTTGTTCTAAGATGTGAAGTTTCATAAAATGTATTAGATCATCTACAGCAATAGGTTGAATGCAAATATATCAAACTTTATATGTTTTAAAATTACCTGAGAAAGGGAGTACGGGAAGCAATCAATACCAAAACAGCTGTAGTCAGCACTTTCTGCAGGTTTTACTCATGGAGATTTCCCTAAGATAATCAGTAAATTGATTTATACACTTGAACAGGTTTAGAGCCTGGGTCATTGGAAAAATCAATACCACTTCCTATCTTGGCAGCCGCTCATCAGGCAATTTTGTTAGAAAGAAAAACAGGAGGCCAGTTGTTGAAATATGCAAGTGATGAAGAGCATCTCCCAAGTTTATTAATCTAGTCAGAGAATCCACATTTCTTCTGCTAATCAGATAGAAAACGTAAGTGAAATAACTTCCCTGAATGTTACGTTGTTTATTACACTGAATCCTAAGCTAACCAACCAGCAGGTGCCACAGCACACAGATCTGATAAATGCCATGAGGAGGATGCTTTGGTTGGCTCCTCCAACTCATTTCTTACACACATAAAAGCAGAAAAAAGCCATCTGCCCCTTCAGCAGGACTGTCACCTCGGCTGTGCTTAAGGGGGCATTTTGGTGCTAAAGCCTTCTGCTTTCCTCCCTGAGCTACAGCTTTAGGTCTTTGCTGAAATCCCCTTGTTATGCTGCTATGCTTTCTCTTAGCAGTAGCAGGCTTTATCTTTCTTATAAGGATGCCTGAGGTATTCAGCTGCCTTTATTTGACTATACAAGAAGCTTAGGTGATGAGCCCTAAACGTCTGAGCAACGGATGGCAGCATCGAGATAAGAGGCTCACGGGGTACTGATAGCTCCAGCTTAACAAGCAAGTCTATGTGCTCTACAGGCCCAGAGAAAGGAAAAACACTTAAAAACTGAGAAAGTGTGTTAAAAACTGTTAAAGTGTGTTAAAAACTGTGAAACGTGTTAGCAGATTTGGGGGGGTTCTTATTTTCTTCTGACGGTGTGTGTGGCTGGGCTGCTGTGGGAGCTACACGGGGATGTGCTGTGCTGCACCTGGAAGTGTCTGTGCAAACGCTCTGAAAACCAAGTGACGCAATTTAAGCTCTTTTTTTGGCCTTTTATTAACAAATACGTAATTCATGAAGGGGCGCAGGTCTCTGACTTCCCCCTCAGGCGCCCTGAGGCGGCGCGGCCCCGCCCCGTGTGACGCGAGGCGCCCAATGGGGAGCCGCGCGGCGCGTTCGAACGGCGCGGCCGTTGGGGGCTCGGCTCGGCCCGGCCGGGGATGGAGGGCGAGGCCCGCCCCGGCCCCTACCGCGCCACCAGGCTGGTGAGGATGAGGGGGGGGGGTTGCGATAGCCGCCTATGTCGCGATAGCTGCCTGTGTCGCGACAGCCGCCGGCTCCCTGGGCTGCCCTGTCAGTACGTAGACGGGCATGAGGCGAAACCCTGCGTAAAACGCTCGTGGAGTTTAGTTTAAAGCTGGGGTTAAAGCGTACTGCGGGCATAGCGACACTAATAATGATTTATTGTAGGTATTGATATTCGTCAACGTAGCTCTGACTTTATTTATATGGCTATTACTAACCATTACTAGCTACTATGTATACGGTTATCGCCAACTATTGCTACTATTTGCACGGTTATTGCTAACTCTTACTGTTTTTATTGATTTTTATTATTAACACTTCAGCCCTAATCCTCTTTTCTTCACCCTTCCCGTCAGTGGAATGAGATCACCAGGTATTTCCGAGCGGGCATGCCCCTGCGGAAGCACAGGCAGCGCTTCAAGAAGCACGGGAGCTGCTTCACTGCCTCGGAGGCCGTGGACTGGCTCACCAAGTCCTGAGGAGCAACAGCAACTTCGGGCCTGAGGTGAGCAGGCAGCAGACTGTCCAGCTGCTGAGGAAGTTTCTCAAGAATCACGTCATTGAGGATATAAAAGGACGATGGGGATCTGAAGACTTAGAAGACAATGGCGTGCTATACAGGTACTGAAATGAAGACCAGCTAAGAGAGGTCTTTTCCTTGAGAGTTTGATTTAATGCTAAAACTCTCAAAAAATCTCACTTTGGTTTAACTGCTTGAGCCAAAGTGAATTATTAGTACCATTTCACTCATCGGTCTTGCAGTATAGACCATAGATCCTGCATGCTGAGGGCTGCTCTCGCACTTATGTCTGTCCAAATTTCTTACTTGGCATGTGTGCTGCATTCAGGTGCTTGGGGGGGCAGGCAAAGAGAACTTACTGTAGTGGCTCTGTGCTGTGCTACCAGTCCTGTGTTTACTTCTCTTGTACATTTTACAGGAAGCCAAAGTGGGAAACAAAGCCTAGCCTAAATCCTTAATTTAAAGGTATTAATGGCCCTTGCTTCTCAAAGTCTGGTATGAGTGCTGTACAAATAT